ACAGAATTAGGTCCGGGTTTTCCCACGAAAAGCAATCTGTTCAGTTATACAGATATACGAGGGGCGGAGAGAGAGAGAGGGGGCTCAAGAGCAAATAATTTACTTACCACGGTCAGATAACCCTCCATTTCAGTATAGTCTTGTTTAATTGAGGCGAGCAAGTAATTCACCCATAAATCTAGGAAAGTAGCAATCAAGAGGAAGAGGGAGAGAGAGAGAGAAGCGTATGAACAGCAATCACACAGGAGTTTACATAAACTGAGTTCAATAGAGCAAGACGACAGTCATATCGGATTTCGGTAGCACAAACGAAAACGGATATACATACATACCTGAATGCACATTTTCATTTGAGTAATGGAGAATTTGATTTAATTTCAAAGGTGAAATCCGTCGTGTATGCAGTAAATGAACCAACCAAATGAACCCAACCAGGTCGAAACAGCTGTCCAGTGCTTCCCAGCTTTTCAGTTCAAGCTTCTTTTGTTTGTATACAAGACTAATTTCACCTTTGAAATGCACATTTTACTTCTGGTCGGAAATGGCTGGAGATCGAGGATTGACGGAAGTAATGAAGCGATAGAGAAGAAAGTGGATCACATCATTTACAAACTAGTGCGCTCAAGAGTCATACCGTTTAGGCAAAATCACACAAAATATAACGCGGCAAAGGGTAATAATCCCGCGAGTTGGTATCAAGAAAAAACCCGGTTATTACTCACAATGTGCGTGGGCATTAGGAAATCCAGCAGTACCCGGGTCGTGAAGGGAAAGCACATCCATCAGGATCATCACAGTAGCCTCTGATAGCAGACGCTCGGTTGGTTGATTTCGTGGATCCCTGGACAGGGTTTAGAACGATACAAGAAGAAGCGCATAGCGGCGATAAGCTTACTGTTCACAACCCTGACGGATCACGCATGAGATGATATACATCTGCAACATACGTGTTGAAAGTGGGTTGCATAAAACGACTGTTGGAACTGCGGTACCTTCAGAACTAACCTAATCATTCAAATCTTCACTAACTATCGATCGTTTTAAAGTACAAGAAATCAAGATCAAATAATCAGTATTCAACTTATCCTACAATGTTTTGTGAGTTGTGGAATATGCTATAACCGGTCAATAGAGCGAGAACTGAAAGCAAGCTTGTTCAGCAAGTTCCCACAACAATTCAACCAAAACTGAATTCTGGGAAAGGGAGCACTAAAAGCCCCGAGAATTCCTTACTTAGGAAAGCAGAATCTTGTGTAACATATTCTATTAGAAATTTCAAGTGGACATTTCATCGAAATGCGTAAACGATCGTTAAACAGTACGGGCTGGAAGGAAAGAGGTCACGACCAACATGTTCCATAGGATCTAAGCCATTTAAATACGGCTGTGTGATTGTGCAGTTCAATTCCCAGGCTAGAACGCATAACAACAAAATGGACCACCGGTGGTGGTAAGCGACTGGCTTTATACCTCGAACTGACTTCAGTCAGGCACAAAAAACGCATCGACGGGGTGATCACGTACCGCGGTTGATGATCCAACGGGACCGGAATTGAGTTCGGAGATAGAATGCACTCCAGTTGTTCCAACCGTAGTTCCACATAGATTAAATGGAATCGAGTAAGCACCGGCAGGTTTGGTGGGGCCCGAAGACCTAGTACATGGATTGGTAACAAATCACCTTCTGACGGATCTCCTGTCTCGGCTGACACGGTTTCACTCGTTTCCCGATACTCCGATGGTGTTAGGAACCATCGGGGAAAACTGCATCGTAACCGTTCGAACAGTGAGACATAGAGCTCACACAGTTTTGATGGCCTAGCGCAGTCAGCAAAAATTGAAACAAATATTGGATCTTACGTGGGTTATTTAATTTTGAGTAGAATGGTAATGCGTGCGTTAAAATTTTTAAAGGCAATGCCATGTAGAGGCACATACACACCTTTCATTAAAGCGATTAACAACTCCAGAACACTGGAATATTCTAAATATTGAACGAGAAAGCATCGACGGAAGATATATATATATATATATATCACAATAAGTAGTATGTGAATGACTGGACAAATTTCCCTGGAAGCACACGACTGATTTCGCGGTCCTTGTCGCTCGTCAGGCACGCGTATCCGATAATCCTTTGTCCGCTCATTCATATACTTGTACCCAGGAAGTATATTTTTGACACAATAATCTTGTTTGCATCACCGGGTGACGTTTGGATAGATTACCGAATACGCATGCCTGACGAGCGGTCGCGTGCTTCCAGGGAAATTTTGTCCAGTCATTCACATACAACTTATTATGAAATAATCCAGAAAGACTATCAAGTCACGTTTGTTGCGGTTAGTAGCACCTAACCCACTTACAAAAACGTTGAATCATAGCATTGATTCTTCAATGGACTGGCTCTGAAAGAGCTGTCTATCCAAACGTCACCCGGTGATGCAAACAAGGTTATTGTGTCGAATGTATATATATACATATATTTCATAATAAGTAGTATGTAAATGATTGAACAAAATTTCCCTGGAAGCATATATATATACGTTTGTGTTCACTGTTGCATTGGACTTTATTACTTGGTTTCTGTCATGTTCTCTCGACGTTCGTATCCCAGGGAATTAACACTACGGCTGAAGAATATTTATTATTATTCTGTTATCCAACTCACATGGTTTTGCCCGAACTGAATTTTCTGCTCAGAGCAAGAAACGAAAGCGTGCCGGGTGGCAGACTGCACTTGCAAACATTCCTCCCGTGAAGATGACGGTTCCGTCGTTAATCGGTTCCAACATTCGCTCAATGTTTAGCNTACTAACTCATCGCGTGCACACAAACACGTGTGTGATATGCATACAGGAATCGTGGCTCAACGAAAACAGACGATTCTCTGGTCAACATACCTGGTTTCGCAAGTTTTCGACAAGATGGAGAAAGAAGCAATAAGAAGTTCGGAGGTGGTATAATATCCTACATTAACTCCAGTTAGTGCGGCAAGTCCAAAACGTTGTTTGTTTTCTCCTCTTATGGTATTGACGGCCTTACTGTTTCATGTCCACCTAGGTTTTCCTCTTATCGGAGCACAATCATTACAAATCGATATATTGCCCCTTCTTGTTCACAAACTGAAATTAGTTCTTTCTATGGTGCATTTATTCCTTTCATTACTCACTTAGTGGACGATAATTTAATTTTAATTGTCGATGATTTTAATCACGGATCAACCCAACCTTCACTTTTTTTCGGTCTGTCAGATCTCTCTTTAACGCCCACCAGAGGAAATACTATTTTGGATATGCTTATTACTAATCACCCTAATATCTTCTTTCCCAAACTGAAGGCGCCAATTTCGTCTAGCGACCACTGTCTCCTGTTTCTTAGACCAAAAGTTTACTATCGCTCAGCATACCCCGCATTTATTCAAACAAAACAAATGAAAATCAGAATTCGGAACCTTTCAGTCGACAGACTTCTCCTCAGAAAATCTCTTGCCATCATCACTTCATGGTTTTCCATTCAGCAATCCCCCTGTTCTGTTGAACATTTTACAGGAACAGCTAACGTGATTTTCAACCTATGTTGTCCTATGGGGACAGATTTGTTCACACGGCCAGAATATGCTCTCCGCGGCTAAAAGCTTTTAGAAGAGCTAGCGTTCAAGATACATCAAACAGCCACTATCAAACAACTTACACTGCAAATCAGGGCAGAGATCAAAAGACTGAATGCTCCATTCGCAAAGCAAGTTCTGGGAGCTGGAGATGGAAGACGGCTATGGCAAGGGATCAGATTGCTTTGCGGACAGCAGAAACGGACAACGAACAAAATTATGGGCGTGGACAGCCCAATGCTGCATTAATTTATCCTTCGAATGATCTCCTGTCTATGTACCCCAAAGATCACCTATCTACCATTGACCCGGTCACCCATGAGGAGGTCTATCATCTTCTTAAAACTACGAAAACCACGAACGCAGTTGGTTTATCTTCGGCATTGCTCAATTATGGCGCTGGCTCCTTGCCTATTCTTCATGCTTTTGATTCCGTTCCACAATCTCTTCTCCTGCAGAGTCATTCAGCTGCCCCACCAACTTGTTGTCATGGTTAAAAGATTATTTCACGGGAAGGACTCAAAGGAGTCAATTCCTTACGCATCACCAGAACACATACCACGAAATATCTAGGAGTTACCATAGATAGCAATCTACGGTGGTCTTCTCATGTGCTTGCTTGTGTTGGTAGACTGCGTGGCTTATTTTTTTTAAATACGCAAGCTCCGACAATTTGGCGTCAGGCATGAAACTGTGTTCCTTTGTTTATCAATGCATTTTTCTTATCATACTTCATTGTTCGCCCGTTATTTTCCCTGGTCTAGTTAAGAAGAACTTCATTACTCTACGTCGCGGTTTGGTGATTATCAGCCGTGTTTCTCTTATTCTTTTAAACACTGGTCACAAAATTGTGTAATTTGTACATCACTTTATGTGAGAACTTCGCTCAAAAGACACTCAGTGACTCCAGTCATCCACTCACTCCCGAATTATCTGCTTGTCGTTCCCACGCTTCAACCCGATCCAATTTTCGCTGCTTGCACTCCCGCATAAACATTTACCGCAACTCAACGGTTCCCTATTTGCCTCGTATTCTCACTGACACGATGAGGATCTGTAACGAACTAATCTTAAACTTACAAAGATGAACACCTATTTAAGTTTTATCATTGTTGTATATTATTTTCGTTTCATTTTTTATCCTACTATAACGGTGAACACATTTTTGACTGAAATGTGGGCACAGTCGCCTGCACAAGTCATCTATAATACAATACAATATATTACATGGGAGAAACGAAGGGTTTAGTTTGATCATTTGGTAACTCCGGTTGTTTACAGAGCACTGATACCGTAGAGCTGCTGCACCCATCGAATGCGCGAAATGCATGGTATACATAGCCATCTGGGTTAGACCTCCGCAGTTTATATTATGCACGAACAACGATCAGCTGACACAATGTCACACAGGCGTCTCAACACTCACCACTTATCACCGTGGAGTTGAGAAACTTGCAGGAGTACTGCGATACCGAACGTGACCGCGTTCGGTTTTGTAGGATTCAGCATCCGTAAGAACTCGGCAACGGCTTCTGGAGACCACAGGTAGGAGTATCGATCGTGTGTCTCTGTACAAGGAAGAAGAATTGCAGAGGGAAATAATAATAGAAAAAGTCAAACATTTTCTTGTATAATCCACCAGCGTCTGCATAGTTATTCCATTGAACAAAAATACCATCACATAAAAGAAATTTGTTAAAAGTTAGACTATGTAACGATTAAAGCATCTGAAAAGGATCACACAGTACGGAAAATGCGCTAGGATACCTAAGAAGCAATTGCTCGGTTTTTTTACTATAACAATTCTGTATCATTACATCACACATTACATTAAATGTATGATTCCCCATTGGTCAAATGTCTCGTAGCTCCACATTGCTCGATCAGTCTCAATGCATCAACATAGTGAGAAAACACAAGTCTTTGAGTCGACATTCAAATGATAGTAATCCCTATCCATGGGTAGAGGCAAATTTAATTAACATCGGGAGGTCGACGTGAGACGAAACCGCCGCTCGCATTCGACTCAGTAGCAGTACGGCCACAGACAGCTCGGTTGATACCTAGTCAATACCACGCTATTCTCGCGGGGGCCTTATGTGGAACACTATTCATAGTTCCATGAAGATTTCTGCAGTGTACACTTGATCTTTCAAAAACAGATGAATGTAGCGGCGGCACCAAACATGTCTCATACGGGCAATTACCAATGAACCCTGTTCTAAGATAGAAGTTTGAAATTGTAATTACTGGTGTTATATTGAGCCATGTTGTTCGTATCTCTGGTCGTGAAAGGCCGGTGAGTGGAACAGATAAGAAAAGCACGCATCGAAAAGAGGAAGATATTTAGAATTATTAGGAAAACGCATGGTCATGACAAGCACGAATTCACTTAGGAACCAAAACTTCTGCCGTATTTAAATGGGTGTATTTGGAAAGCAAGATACCGGAAGAAGTGAAGGTGCATGTGCACCAGTGCACTGGATTGTTCTGAAACACTCGGATTCGTGAGGCTGAATTGAAAATGAAATTTCTATAGAAAAGTGCTTTCGACTATTGTTTGACCACCTGAATTCATGTTACATTCAGTATTGGATTTTAAGTGCACCGTCAGCATTATGGAACACACAGAGAACATAACAGCTATTTGAGATAGAAAACGATCTACGAAAACCATGAGCACACTCAATGGAGGTGAACTTAAATGAGTATACGACAACAAGTGGTCGCATGATACAACACTATAAAGCCACGTACCTTCCAAAGGCTCAGATTTCGAATGTGATGAATTCGACGCGGATGGGGGCTGTGATGATTTGTCGCCTGAACCGATGGCCTCTTCATTCAATATTTTAGCCAGGTCTCTGAAAGAATATGTGAGGAGTTGTCAACTTCCTTATCGAAGCAAGCTTAATATATTGTGTTAAAATTTAATTGGAGAACAAACTACCTAGACGGGAAAGATGTAATACACCGGATCTCGGGGAAAACACCCTACCAAATTCTCTTACATAAGTGAAAACTCGGAGAAGTCCTGATACTGGTGTGCATCTAACCGGACATTGTTGATTTCGGTCGGTGGACAAAGCAATGTGATTTTGGAAGGTAGTAGACAGGAGGCTAGGTTAGTGTAGAAGTGGCCCGGGTTTGAACACCTCATCTTCTGGAGGATTTTATCGATGTATCCTTCAGATTGTGTGGTTCATCAAAGAATTATCTCCCAGGATTTTAACATAAGAAAAGCCAGCTGATGAGTTTAACTGTTATATTTCTTCAAACTGGCACAGATTTTTCATATGAACACTTAAGGCGTAATCGAAGACCGCTACGAATACAACGGATTTAAGAATATTCCGACGGACCTGGAAGCCTTCATCGGGATGGGGTGGGCCCGAAGGCACTATTGGTGTGGCTACTGAGCAAAATTTCTATAGTGTGATTGATCTGGAACTGGGTTATTTCGGGATAAAATGACTCGAAATCACTTTCGTAAAATGAAGAGTATTTTCGGTCGGATGACAAATAGGGGATCGGAATCAGTTTAGAAAATGGGATAAACTTTCGGAGTTCTCATTGCAAACACTCACATTTGACGTTGACGATTGAAAAGCAGTGATGCAACCTAGCATTGATACTGCTTCTAATCTTCGACTCCTTCATCCAAAAGGGTAGCCGAAAGACAGACACCGAAAACAGCACACAAGACTGTATTCGTGGTAATTGGATAAGATGAGCCTGAAATCTTGGAGCTGATGAACCTGAGCTACGATAATGGACACCTGCCACCAGATGACGTAGAATAGGACACATTTGGCCCAGACAGGGTACGACAGAATTGGTTCACAAGCCCAAGAATAGTAAACATGCTCAACGAACAAGGTCCGACCACTACGGGAACCGTAGAAAACAACTGTACCGGCCTTCCGGCATAGTTGAAAGAATATTCTACTGAACTGTGGAGACAAACCTTAGGGGTGAATAAGACGTGAACTCGGTCAATTATCATCCCTGTCCACGAACTAGCAGAACCGCATACTTTTACGCTCTGATTCAAGTGAATGCCTATTTAAAAAAATGCAAAACGTGTGCAATACAGTACCCAGAAAACAAGCCCAAGATGCTTTAATTGTATTGGCATCATTTGTGGAACAAGTTGCTCCCCGTCCGTACAGAAGATCTGTATTCTGCAATGCAATGAAAGTCAGAATCGCTGACCAAGCCCACTACCATAAAGAACAGAAAAGCTCACTAAACGCACGTTTATGTAGCTCGCATATCAGTCCGAAGACTCATAACTTTCTCACATTGCCGATCAGTAGCTAATAGGAAATTCAACCTTTTTCGAGCCACCTTCCCACTCCGATACTGCTAATTGTGAA